CTACAAAGAAGGGTAATCCACTCTCTTTAAGGAAAAGATTAGTATTAGAAAATAAATTTTTTTGTTTAAAGATGGATAGTCCGTTGTCATATTACATGTTGTTTTGCTCACGAATGCACCAGGCACTTAGCTATAGAAGGTGAGATTGTGTCTCTTAAGTAGCCAAGAAATCCTAATAGGTTTCATCCATATAAGAAGAATATAATCTGAATTTCAATTCAAAAGTGCTTAAAACACTCTTCTTAGTAGTCTTAACCATATATAAATCCCAATTACCTTATTACTTTCATATTTAAGGAATTTAGATTTTTCTTGTAAGCCCCAATCTTAATCAGTGAGCTTTAACAAGTTATAACATCCAATCCGATTTTCTACTTGATGTGAAATTTTGCATGCAATTGTCAATCTAAGTCTTCCATATGCTCAAGAATTTTTCGCCCAATCCAACTTACAGATTGTGAAAAAACCTCCAAAAATTGCATTGATGTCACTCAGTTGCCAACTTGAAAAGTAAAGCAGAAATCCCAACAATGATTTCTCCCTTTTCAACCGTTAACTTTGTCTCAAAATTGGTGTGTAGCTTGATCTTTAAGTCCTTCAATACCATGCCAATTTCCACCTTAATCCGACTGATAGATCTTCAGATATCATAGAAATCCTACCCAATCTCAAATTGCCACCTTCAGAAACCCTCTTGTGCTAAAAACTAGATATCTCTAAATCACGGTGTTAGATGATCACAAAAAAATTTATACACTTAGTACACCTAATAATCCAAATAATATCAAATTTTCAACTCTAGATGACACACCAATTGTACAAACTAGCTAAAATTACTAGCTCTAATTATATTATATAAAATCCAAATCACTTATACAAACCCTAACTTTGAATAACAATTGCTAAGTCCTCCAAAATCCTCTCAAAACACTTCTTATGTCTTTGAAAAGAACTTTAAGCTAACTCTTAAATCTCTAACCTCCGATCTTCAAATGACTTTTTAACTTGCCCTCGGCGATCGTTTTAGTGACTAGAGGACTGATTTTGACCTTGTCTCACAAATGGTCGACCCTTGGGTATCAATCTAACTTATCCTAAGGATTTTTTAGCCCAATTCTATCCTTCACTTGACCTTAGTATCAACCATATCAACCATTTACCTCTTCTATTCTAATTTTATTAATTTATGGTCTTTCTAAGGTAGTAGAAGAGTCTCTACAACCTAGAAGATAAAATTACTAACTAACCTTCAACCTACTAACTATTAAGATAAGAAAATAACCTAAGAGGCTTTTATAAAAGCCATGTTTAGATACCTCAAATGATAATTGAACTAAGATAATTAGATATTAATTAGAAATTTAATTTTGATTATAATTTCACTATATAGTCGTATTATATCACGACACTGCAACCTTCAAAATATAATAATAGAAGTAAGATAATCTATTTACTTCTAAAAGAAGATAAAAATAGTAAGTTAGCATTCTTCTCAAACTATCAAGAATATAAATTTTGAAGAAAAAAATCTTCAATATACTCTTGTGACACTAAAAAGAACTAGAAAGTCATTCAAAGATGATATATTATTGAACTAGAATGGCTATTGCCAAAAACAAGAAGACTAAAAAGCCTTGAAATAAGATTAAGGATTAGAAAGGCATTAACAAGAGTAAAGAAGGTTGCACTCTTGCCTCCATATATACTCTTAACTAGGAGCTATGTGGTGATGTCTTATAGGACCTCCAAAACACATTGACTTTGTAAGATACATATCTTAACTTACAAGGAAAGTTTTCTATATGGGAGCCACACAATTAGCTTGTTCTATAAGCTATTAATATGTGATTAACTTGTTGACTAAGTTTCTAACCTATCAATCAACTACAAACATATGTAAAGTCAAAGTAGTATCTATGAAGCTTCTAAGAAGCTTTTCTAAAAGATAATATGAAATTAATCTAATTTTATCTATTTTCACCTACTTCTATCTAATCATATAGATATTTATTGAAGTACCTATATATATCCATGACACCCCTCTTATCACAATAAAAAGATCTTTTAAAAACTTTAGCATATAAAAGCATAATATTATTACATCAATGATATAATTCAACAAAGAAATATAATATTAGTACTCTAAACTATCATTCTAAGGTGTTTAATAACCTCAAAGACCATGCATACATTTCATAAGTAGAATAAATTACCTTATAGAAGATATTACCTTAGATAATTTGTTTATAATGAAAGGATTGATTTTTAATATGTAGAAAGGCATTCTATAAATAAATTTCAAAATCAAAGGCCAAGAGTCATATTAAGAGAATAAAGAATCAACTAAAAAATATTCAATGATTAGATAAGAATATAAAGTATATACTATAGAATATCTTTGAAGTAAGTGAGTTGACAAAAAATCTTAAGAATATAAAGAATATGCTAAAAGCATATCTTTATAATTGATAAGATGTCAAAGACTAAAATTGATATATCCTTGGATAGATGTAAAAGTTAAAGAATGGGAGTTGTCATTAAGGTCAACAACCACCACCTATATACTTATTTTAACACTTTTCACATCTTGTAATCACAATTGTAGGCCTGTGAGGCTTGATGCATCTGTATACCATTAGGTATGGCTTTGAGTATGATGTTACGCATTGCATTATGGAAATACCATAAAATATGATTTTGATGTGTCTAAATTGATTATGCGCACAGAAACACTTAATGCAACGACAAGGTCAAAAGGGAGAACAACCTGATGGCTACAATGCAAATGAGTTGCGGCTGAAAGAACCGCTCTTTGAAGCTCCCTATATTATAGATGAGAAGGTGCAAAGAGGACTATTGAAAACAATGGAATTTTTTGGACAACATGCAGTTGATTTTTGTGATTCAATCGAATTAAAGGTGTGTTAGCTCTCTGAAACTATGTAACTTCTCTTCTCTCTTGGTACTCGAGGCCACACACTTGACAATGCAGATACCTGAATCAGTGGGAAACAGGTACTCGTGGTGCTTTACATACCTCATCTGTAATTTAACAGACATCTTTGGATCAACATAACCTTTTCATATTAGGGTCTTCCAGAATTCACTTGGTAATTGATTTCGAATAGTGGATCTATTATTCAAGCCAATAAGAGAAAAAACGTAGGTAGATTGATCTGGACTTTTTCTCTCTTGTTCTTGTCTGGAACTTGTTTCAGGAATCATCCTGAGCAGCTGCAACAGAGTGAAGAGGCTAACACCACCACAGAAGAGGTACTTTTTCTTGTTCAGCTTCATTGGTATTTTAAAGCTTACTTGTTCAGGATATCAACTGTGCAACTTGTCTGGAATCGGTACGTGAATTGCCATCTAAAAGTATTTGCTCTCGTATTTATTTCATCTGCTGCTTATGATGAATCTGTTGTTCTGAGTAGAATTATCTTTTCGCATTCATCAGTGCATGCAGGATTATTTCAATTTATGGAACAGCTTGAGGTCAGTTATTTTTATTCACTTTTATTTCTGCATTGCTTATTTGGAACATTTAAAAATGTTATGAATTGGTGACTGATTATTTTTATGTTCGCCAGCAGCAAGAATTTAGACATCTGAAGAATTTGAGCATTGGATTGTTCGCTTAGTATTTGGTGGGCAGCATGAGGGGACAATGGTTCAACGCACACAAACTGTCGCAACAAGGCTAAATGGTGGGGGTGCAGTTTTTTGACTTGTAATGCTTTCTGCTTTCATGACGCGGGCTTCTGACTTTATTTTCTTTTGGTTTGGGACACCTTAACTGACTTTTGAGATATTGTTTTCTTGGTTTGCATCAGATCTCGAAAGAATCCTACCACTTTGAGATGAGACGAATTGTTTAGATGCTTCAATGGGAAACCATCCTCAATCTGCTGTAAGATTTCTCGAATGGTCAATCCTTCAGCCTAATTCTCGTTTATTTATACACCAGCTGCCTCGACTGTCTCAGTCCTCGCTCAGGTTCCAGTAAAATCGTGACATGTTTGATGTGTCCTTGAGAGTTGTCTAATTGAAGCGAACAGAGTGGTGGAAAGTATTGAAGCGTTGCACAGCTTCTCATGAAAACAATCATCTACAACTGCAGTGAACTTGGAGATAAGATTTCATGATTCTATTTCATTTTACATTTTCTACATTGTGACAAACTGTCTGCACATCCTGGAATCAGTGTCTACTCGATTCTACAGTTTTGGAAATACTGCTGACAGAACGACATTGTTCTGAATATTCATTGCTACTACAGCGTCATTGTAAAAACAGGTTGGCTAAAAGACACGTTTGAATTTCAAAAAAAATTCATAGCTTAATTATGAATAGTATTTTAGTTTTATTTTATAATATTTTTGAACTCATGTACTTGACTGAAATCAAAATTTAGTTTAAAATATTGCATGAGTGATGTGTGTATGAATATATTTACAAAATTCAAAAATTTGATGAGATTGTTCTCAAAAGAATAGGATATGAGTTAATGTTAATACAGGCAAGAAAATCAAACTATTCATTCAATCAACAAAGATAACATATTTTTAAATAAAGAAAAAGGAAAAAGGAAAAGAAACTTTTAAATTGTTTTTCAAACCACTTTCACATGTAGGACAACTAATGTAACAATGTAATAATTAAAGTAATAATGTAAAAAAAAATTAATATTATTTTCATTACGTTCCACAAGCAAAAATCCATAAAATTCACTCACATGAGTCAAAATACTTTTCACAATACATGTGGCAACCATTTCCCAATTTTAAGCTCTCTTACTCCAATCAACGACAAAAACCATGAAAATCATATGAACCAGAAAAAAGATCCCACACTGATTCCACCACCATCTCCATTCATTCACCACCACATACAAATCATCATTTAAAAAAACACGAAAAAAACACCAAAAGACAAAAAGATAGAAATATGAGCCGAAGAACGACTCTAAAAGCACAACTCAATTCGTAAAACCCGCAACGTCCATGAAGCTTTAGGGGACTTTCCGTATTCGGGGTGGTAAGAACAACGGCATCGACAGAGACACGAGGAATAGCGACGACGCAGCTCTCTCTCACTCTCTCGCATACTCACACTCTGTCCCTCTCGCATCTCATCTCCTACTCCCCTTCTCTCTCTCTCCCTTTCTCTCGCGCTTTTGATCATGTTCTAGTGTGCACTCTTTCCTGGCCTTGCTGCTGGAGGTATGAGCGATCCCGTCGGAGTGATTCACGATGCGGGGTTCACTGCAGCAGCCGCCGTTAGGGGTTGTTTGATTAGTTGGTACTAAGTGGAGGTTGTTTAGCACGGGATTAGGGCGTGAGAGAGGAGTTCTTCCAGGTGTTTTAGACGATGCGGATGATTACGTGTCCCCTTGGAGTAGGATATCGCGTTTAGTTGACTTGGGTCGTCAGCTCATGGCGGGTTTTGGTGAAGATCGGTCTCTACTGGGGGGCGTATATTTGGTTTGGGGCACTGTAGAGGTTGGACGTCGGCGACCTGATGGTCTTCGTTCCATGTGATGCTGCTGAGTGGAGCGATGTATTGGCATGTTCTCAGGCATCTTGATCACTGTGAGGTTCACTGTTGAGTGGCGGGTTCATCGCAACGGATCGCCGCAAGTCTAGGGAAAGAGGAGTGTATAGGCTCATTCCTTGCCTGCTTCGGCCGTGTTGATTCGAGTTTGTTTACAGGTTTTAACTTTATAAACCTGGGGTTTATACGCTGCTGGAATTTCATTATGAGGGAAGAGTTTTGTTTTGAGGGTTCCATTTGAGGGAAAAAAAAAAAAAAAAAAAAAAAAAAAAACTCGGTAGTTAGTCGAGGTAATGTCGCAGTGGAGCTATTTTGAGTTGCAGAGAGAAAGGTTTGTTTTCCTTCCGACGAGGTTGGAAACTTTCAGTCAGTTTTAGCAATTGACGATCATCCCGCACGAGTGAGGCCAAATTCCGATGGAGGATGACTGTATGGAGTCTACGCCGTCTACTCCTGATTACTCCACCAACAATGTGTATAATGCAAGGTTAGAATGTATACTACGAGGCTTTGCAAAGGATCCGAAGGCTCTAGCTCATAAACTTGGGGACTTTACTGTGCGAACATTAGTGGGAATGAACGAGGAGGACTACCAGAAACTGTTTGAGTTGTTGCGTTCGAACTTATCGGTAGCTGATTTTTTCGCTATCAAAGTGGCAGTTAGAGAAGCCAAGAAGCGCTTCAATGCAGGTATGTGAGTTTGAGTAAATAGCAACCAACTTGATTTCTAGCGAAGCCAAGCAATTCTTTGGCATCGTTAACTTTCCCGCTATTCACACATGTTGGCCACATCTTCTTAGAATTCGTAAGATTCCTTTTTGCATGCGATTTATCTGGTCGAAATTACCACTTTACAGCGACTTATTGCTCACATCACACACTCAAGTTGCCAGGGCAAGTTTCGGTTTATAATTTTAATTTGTGTTGATCAAATTCTAAATTAGGATGCTTGAATCATAGCAGGTTGCTTTTTTCTGGATTCATCCTTGAACATGAATTGAATAAGTTTTCCATTCGGGACGATGAGCTCTGCGTTTCATTGTTGTTCAATTTTCTAGTGAAACTGGATTGCTGCCCAAAATATGTGGTGAACGAAGGAAACTCACTCTTCAAGTGCTTCAATATTCAGCAGCAAATGCTTGTTGATGTGATACTCTTTCCATTATGTTCATAATTTTCGCGTAATGTTTAGCATGCCTTTGGTGCTTGAGTACCTATTGCGCTTATTCTATCGGCAATCGGTATAACGGAACGCAGTGTGTTGATTGCATGTTCAGAGACTACATCCCCGCGCAGTGCCCACTGCACCCCGCGTGCAGGCAACGCTTCAGGTGTGGCACGCCCTGCCGTCGATGTGGCCTCCTCCAGCCACATTGATGTGGAGAGACCTCTCCCTAGACTCCCAGAGCACGTGATCCACATGGTGCTTGCGCATCTCCCCGTCCCCTCCTTCCTCCGAATGCGCGTCGTGTGCAAAGATTGGTGGCACCTCATGTACTCCACAAGCTTCCTAGAGCTTTGTTCAAAGCAACCTTCAGAACGCTCGTGCTTCGTCTTCTACGAGCGGGGGAAAATGGTAGCTAACGGCGAAGGCGCTATCTACATTCCCTCATCCAACAAGTGGCTTAAGCTTAGCCTAAGCTTTCTTCCCTGCAATTTGAAGGAGCCTGTGTTAGTCACTGGCGGAGGCGGCTTGCTCTGCTTCGTCTGCAACAAATCCGAAAGTGGTAGTGTAATTGTGGTCTGCAACCCAGTCACGAAATCTTGGCGTGAACTTCCTCCTTTGGACGTGGAAGATCCGGAGGTCTTCATGTGGTACTTGGCAATGGTAAGCATCGTCGTGGACGAGCACTCCAATAGCTACAAAGTTATCTTAGTAAGCCAAACTAGTTATGAGCTCTACGATGCTAGTTGGAGAACCTTTTCGTACAGTAGTTTAACGAAAGATTGGTCAAGACCCTCGACTCATCATCTGGGTGCGAATGTCCATAACGATACCTGTGAGATATGGACTCCTGTCGAGTGCAATGGCGTCCTGTTTGAGAATTTTGGCACCGAGTATGTTTGGACATACGACTTGCATAAGGGTACCTGGCGACACATTGAGCTGCCGAGTCCTTCGGACTCTGCTGAAGAGAGAGGGCTGGTGGAGATTCATGGACATCTCTTTAGGGTTCTGCAGACTGAAGACTATGAGACTAAAGACATTCAAATCTGGAAGCTCAACCCCACTGATCTGTCGCTTACCCTTGTGGTGTTCATGCCGCCTGAACTAGCTGCCACGTTTTTGGACGTTTCCTTCACTGTGCTTGGGATCCATAGCATTGCCGGCAACGATGCTCTTTGTTTTCTTTCCCTTAAAGGCCAATCCGCCCTGCTCTACGATTTGAGTGAGAGGTCTTGGAATTGGATGCCGAAGTTCCCCTTATTCAAAGGATCTAATAGTTGCTACTTGAACCTGAGGCTTGACATCTCGGCTTGATGATTCTGAACTGGCAGCAACGGAGAGTAGTCATTGTCTACCTTTGCTGCTGTGGCTGGATCGGTGCTCATGAATTCATGCTCTTGAGCTTGATTCGGCAGGACATATCTACATGCACCAGGTTGTTGCTGAGCACTATCTATGTAAAAAAATTGTTCTGAAAGTAGTGGCAATCTTTTGCCAACGCCGAAAAAATCGCCTGTGGATTATTTTAAATTTTTATTTTCATATTATTTTCCAAAACATCATTATTGCAGAAAGTTGTTTCATTAGTTTTATGTTGGTTTACAGCTGCCCATTCACATACTTGACAATGTGATATGTTCATTCTCGCAGTGTTGAAGAGACCTGTTCTGCTCAAAATACCGAAGACCATGAAAAGTTTCCAAATGAAGTACATTAACATCAAAAGCTTCGGTCAACCGCTAGATACTTATTTAGTATTTTGGCATGAGGTGAAAATAATTATAGTTGTGAATATTTAATTGTAATCACAATTAAATTTAATATAATTTGTGTTTTAAGTCGGTCATTTATTTATATGTTATTTGAATGTTTAATCTTTTTTCTTCTTCTTTATTAGTTGTTTTCGGAGTAGACATAGGTGTTACTAATGCCAATGTTGAAATAGTTTATTTACATGTAAGGAAAAAAAATCTCCCTATTAAAATTTATTCTAAAAAATACAATTATTAGAAATAATTTTGTGAATTATGCTATGAAATTTATTGCTGTTGATTTACTTGAACATTATTTTCTTGATAGTGTAATATATTGAATGATTGTACAAATCAAATTTAATAGTTTATGGATTGTCAAATTCATTAGAATATGGTTTGGTTTTTGGACATCATAAGTATTCTAAACACATCAAAAAGTGGTCAATTTTATTATTATGTCAACTAAACTATGAAAATTGTTAATTTTACATCCCAATTGATATTGCTATATGCTATGTAACCTCCTTATTGACAATTAGTTAATAATATGCTTTTTTATTTTGTACATTTTTTTTTTTTTTGCTTAAAGAAAGGATGGTAGTTGAGAATAAACAACAAACATGTTGCAAGTTGTTTTGTTTTAAAACATAATATATATTTATTTAGGAGAAAGTTAACTATACCCAGGCTTTTACTAAATTTATCCATCCATTGTAACCATTGTGAATGAAAAATATAAAAAAATAATGACATCTAATAATAAAAAATAACATCTTTGGATTCATTCAATATTCTCTATTATTTATATATTTATTTTATTTGGCTGCTAAAAATATAACATGTTTTATTTTATTTTATAGTTAGATCAATATTAGAATTAAATAATAAATTGTCATTGCACCCTAAGCATAGAAGCATGCTTTTTAGTTGATTTAAGTTGTGTGGAGGTTATATGTGGTCTAGCAATATCAATTTATTATATATATATATATATATATATATATAATACTTAAATATAAAATTTTATATTGATTAAATTATATATAAATATATTTAGTTAGATATAATATTACTAAAATTATATTAAAATTTTAGAATTCAAATGATTTTTCTTATTGTTGTATTATTTTAAGATAAATTTAAATTAATTATAGATTTTTTTAAATTACTAATTAAGAAATTCTTTCTAGAATAATATTATTATATAAAAAATATTTATATTTTTGATAAAATTTATAACTTGAAATTTTTAAAATAACTTGTGTTTTGAATTTTTTTCAAGTATGTTAAAACATGCCTTTGTCATTCTTTGACTTTGACATTATATATTTTCTATATAAGCAATACAGTTTATTTGACAACTTATGTAGTTAAACTTGTCTTGCTATGTAAATGATTAACAAAGATTGCATATAAAAATAAAAATCTTTTGATATTAGAGAAACTAAAGCTATTATTTATATAATTATTAATATTATTATTTTTAACAAATTTAATAAAGTTTGTATGAAGATGTTAGAAATGAATAAAATTCTATTATCTTTGTAAGTTTTTAAATAGCCATGAGTACAAAATTGACATATTTTAATTTTAAAATAAATATCTTTTATAAATAAAAAAATAAAATACGTAAATTTTAATATCACCATAAAAATTATTAAGTATTTTTTTTTTTTTAATTTAATGAAACCTTTGAATCAATTACATGAGGTTTTCAATAAATTTACTTCTTTTTTAGATTTTTTATTCTTATGTTTTATTCTTGTAATGATAAATATTTTAGTATAAATTATTTATATATATATATATATATATATATATATATATACATATATATATACAATGTTCTCCTTGTTAATTAAAATCATTTGCTGCAACATAAAGTATTATTCATAAGCACTTATTACTTATTAATGCATGCACATTGAAAGTAGGATAGAAACCATTCTTACAAAGTCCTTACAACTTAGGCTACTTGCTATCAAGGACAAGAACATGATATAAACAAATAAATAAGTTAGACTTCTCTCAAAGAAAGATGACAAAATAGAAATAACTTCATATATATATATATTAAGAAAGAAACTGGAATGGATATTGCCAAAAGCCAAGAAAACTAGAGACCTTTGAAACTAGACTGGAAGCAAGAAAGGAGTTGATAAGTGTGAAGAAGGCTTCACTCTTATCTCTATATATACTATCTTACTAGGGGCTACGTGGCGACGTTCTATAGGACCTCCAATATATGTTGACTTTGTAGGACACATGCCTTGACTTACAAGACAAGTTTTTCTATGTGTGGGCCACATAGTTACCTTGGTCTTCAAGCTAACAATATGTGTGGCACATGGCCAACTTGTTGACCACGTTTCTAATCCCAAAAAGACAATTAAAGACACCTATAAAATCAAAACAGCGTCTATGAAGCTTCTAAGAAGTTTTTATACCAAATACTATAGAATTAACTTACTTTTATCTACTTTTACTTACTTCTACCTATTTATACATGTAATTACTGACTTACATGTGTATGTCTGTGACACTTGCTCCCTCAGTAAGAGCCAAATGGTCTAGCCTCAATTAATAATGTATGGTCATGTGGCCCTAGCATCTACATAGTCATGATTAGTAATCTTTTTTGATTAATGTAAGCTATTGAAAATCAATCAATTACTAAAAATTAAAAATATAAATTATATATTTTAGATAAGAATCAACTCCTTAAATTTTAATTAATTGGGAGTTTTTAGTTTTTAGAAGATTAGTCAATATAAGATATATTTTTTTGTATATTATTGTATTTTTAATATCCATAATTTTTTAATTAATAGATTCTATATTTAATAGAATATTAAAATTAATATAGTACTTTAAAGAAATGTATATATTAAAGTTTCAAAAGTTATGCTTTGAAATCTCAAAAAGAATATAAAAGAATATTAATATATAACATATATATTATTTAATATTTAAGATATATAGAAATATTCAATACATACATTAAATATTAAAAAAAATTATAATATAACATTAATTATGATCAAGATAATTAAACATCTTTGTTGATATTATTTAAATCTGAATATAACAATATGGTGTAACATTCTATTTAATAAATATATTTTATATTGACTATACTATTGTCTAATAATAGCTTTTAAATTTTGCAAAAAAATTTTTAGAAATCCAATTTTAAATTTTATCTATAAAAATAAAATATCAATTAAAAGTGATTAAAGAATAGAAAATTTCTGAGACAAACATGAATAAAATTTAATTATATTTATTAATGATATGTGATTATCTTTTTAAAAAAATACCAAAATAAACAGGAATATATTACATAAATAAAATATTTCTAAACATATATGGGAGTTTATTTTAATAATAGATTAATATATTCAAAATCTCTTGAATTTTTTTTGCAATAATATCAATCTCAACCAAGTACCAACTAATACTAATATCAATAAGATGACATATACAATAGTATGAAAACATAAAAGAATTTATTTGATAATATATATATATATATATATATATATATATATATTGTATTACAATAGAAAATCAATAAATAATTATTTTGTCATATAATCTAAATTTTTTACAATTGCCAAAATTGTAAAGGACACAAAGAAAAGGATTCTTAAAAAAATTAAAATTTTTAAAAGTGATTATATAATGTATAAGATGGTAAATTAGAAAAAATTATAGATCCAAGATTAGAAAATAGTCAACACTTAGATTATTTCAAAACTTATGATAGAAAAATAAAGGTGCCCCTTGTCAATCCTCTCATTTATACTATTGAAACTAGGTCATATTGAAGTTATTAGAAGAGGTTCTAAGACTAACAAAATATCCTAAAGGTCAAAAGATTCAACCACTGATACTTTTAAAAGACCAAAAAAAGTCTTTAGTGATTATGGAGGATTACGCTGAATTCTACAAGACCAAAGAAGATTTTTAGAAACTTCTTGGATAACAATAAAAAGCTTTAAAAACTTGTAGGGTATTCTAGAAGGTTTTAGAGATTTACAAAGATTTATAAAAAGTAGCCCGAAGTATTTATGAGATTATAAAATATTGATTTAAAAAAAAAATATATATATATATATATATAGCCATATATATTTTGTAGACAATATTTTTTATATTTTGTGATAAACAAAACATTTAGATTTTTGAAATGTTTATAATAGTAAGGTGAGTACAACAATGCTCCAGATTGAGATGCATTTCAAACAAATGGCAATATATCTTTATTCAAAAGCTTCTATTTATATGCCAAAATGTGTTTCTAATAAAAAGAATATAATAATGGTAGCTAATATGATAATGAAATTCTACAATTGCATTGTTGTAATATATATTTGGATAATATGAATAGAAATTGAAATTTATAATGAACAAAAATTATTTGTAAGCAAGTCGATTTAAATCTAGTAAAGAGAAGAATAGATTCAAAGCACAAAGATTTAACCAAAACGATATTATATCCCACCTTGCTTTCTGCTCCAACTATTACTCTCGAAGTTCAGATGCAGCTGGCATTTCAGTTACCGAAACTACCTAAAATAGATGATCGGTACAATTCACCGCATTATCACATAACAGCGCAAATCTTGCTGACGAAGATCTCTTCAACACGGTCCGGTAATGGCTCTAGAGGTTTTCTGGTATCGACATGCACTGGGGCTCATGACCTTGTGCTCTTTTCTGCAAGTACCCGAGAGAAAAAGAGTTTCAGAAGTGTGTTGGTGTAAGTTATTGATAGTGCTGTGCAATTCACAGTTTTGCTACTCCGGTAGGTCCGACCTCTTCAATTGTCAGTTTAAAAACTCTAAAAACATTTGAGAAAAGTGTTGAAAAATCTCCGTGAGGAAATTCCTTGTCGCAAGACGTGAAAAAAAGAAGAAAGAAGATGGAAATATTGTTTTGGGTATCGAAGAAGTGTTCGATGCTGTGCAATAAGGAAAGAAAAAGTGCAGGTAACATAAAAAGCTAGCATGGTGATGATAATATAAGACCCCGATTAACACACTTATGGATTGTTTCATGAGCTGCACGTTCTCAGCGACAAATGGGGCTCATTGAGAAAACTCCACTTTCTATAAGGTTGGGAAACGGCGTTGAAGATGTTTTTTCCGTCAATCTGATTTGATATCGTTCTCAACTTGACCACATATGACTATATAAGGAAAAGGCATTGAGAAAGTGGCGGATTGGCGAGGTAGTTCGACCATGCTTTTGGTAAAGTCCCTTGAAGTTCAGTGGTGGATCAGGCTTGTGGTAGTGACAGTCTCTGCACGCCATGCGAGGCTAACTTTAAGTTACAAAATCTTGCTCAAATGGTACTCTTCCTCGTTGTACTTTTGCAGGAACGGATGTTTCTGCAACCACCAAAAAGAAGAAGAAAAAAAATCCTTTCGTCAGCTTCGACTAGACTTGCACTTGGAGTTATACGAAAGGGAAGACTCAGCATACACCTTGAATCCAGCATTTCAATCCTACTAATGCTCAAGTGTCAGATCCAAGATGTACGTTCACCCAACAACAAGCCGAAATGCATACCCCAGCATGATGAAGTCAGAAGCAAGAGCACTGAGGATTATTCATTAAGGCTATGATGCAAACATTATGTGATATTTAGAGGTTTCTGCTAGAGCCACAACAGTCAACATCTTGGTGAGCAGCTAACACGTCGAGGGTAAACCAACATATTAGAATCAACTTGCTGCTTTTCCAGCTGCTAGAGCACACTCACGAAAGAGCACCAAATGCAGAGACACCCAAGAATATTACTTACAAGTAAATCAGTAGTTGATGGTCGTTCACTGGGACATTTCCGGATGCTGTGCACAGGAGATGCAGATCGGTTAGTTTATTTGAGTCAGTATGAGAAGATAATAATGCAAGGCAAATACTGCTCTAGGGTTTTCAACCAAATCGACTGCGGCAAATATTGATTGCTTACCAGGATTCAATAAAAGAACAAAATTCGGGGGAGAATTTGTCAGGGGATGCGGCTGCGGGGGGTTGATTAACTATACATTCCATGAGGATGAAGAAATTTTGCCAACCCTCTTCCATTCCAGCTGGTTTGTATGGGAAGGTACCCAACGCACACTCCAAAAGAGTCAATCCTAAACTCCATAGGTCACTGTCGTATGCATACGAACGCCCCTGAAGGCGTTCTGGCTGCAATGTCGTATAAAAGCTAGAATCAGTTAGTGAAGAAACTGCAATTGATAGAAAGCCTTCGCAAGCCAGAACTAAAATTCAAACCCTAATTTATACTCAGAGAAAAGTGCTGAAAGAATTTTGAAACAAAAATATGATTTATATATAGAGGTGAAAAGGAAATCGACAATGATCTGATCCGAAACTTACCGACATATATGTGCAAGTCCCAACGAACGTGTCTCGCTGGGCCAAGGAATGAACCAACACAGCACTGACACCAAAATCAGATATTTTGACCTCACCCTTGTGATTGATGAGGAGGTTGGAGGGCTTTATATCACGATGTATGATGTGCCTGACTTGGTGTAGGTATTCCAATCCCTTCAGAACCTATTAAACCTTCCAGAAACTAATCAGCAGTCTTATCACCTTTGAACCGAATGGACAGGGTACAGAACGCAAGGTAGGACTAACGAGTGACACATAGTTAAATATCACTACAGTTCTGCGGTCATCAAAGCAGATGGTAGACTCACTTGACTAGCAATGACGGCCAAATACGGCTCAGGTATCTGCTTTTGTTGCTTAATAATGTCGGACAACGAGCCCCTGTCCATGTACTCTAGGATCATGGATATGACGCCGTTGTGGTAGAAGGAGTGGAAGCATTCCACGATATAAGGGCACTGCTGGTGCGTCACTTGGTTGATTTTCAGCTCCTGAACAATCTGCTTCCTCACTGTTTCGTTGATATTCATTTGTATCGCCTGCAGTGTCACGGACACTGTCATTCCTTAATGACCATGCGGTCTTTACTTCCACGAATGAGGAGTATCCCGCTCTGGGTTTGTAAATTAGACAGGGTGAAGATGAAATAGTCAAAACAAAAACAATATAAAACAAATATAAAACTAAAAAGAAGAGAGAACGTATCATCACCTTCAGTGCATAATTGACATTGGTCCATTTGTGCCGGACAAGCTGCACGGTTCCACCCGCACCCTTTCCTAAGAACCGCACTAACTCCAGGTCTGCTATTGACAGTTGCCCATCTGGGGAGCTAGACTGCGTCTGCGTCTGCGTTAAAAAAATCAAGCGCAGGAACATTTTCAGGTCTTGAGTCAATCGATGCATGATACGAGAAGAGACAGAAACTGCAGGAAAATGGAGACTGCAACAACTTTTGGCAGAGGAGGTGGTCTACAGGAAGGTTAGGTTCTGAAGAGACGACGCGAAGCCCGGTGTGGTTGAGCTTGATATCATCATCCTGGAAAGTTCCACTGGCAGTCCTGCACAACGCACCAGCAAACTATACTCAATGTCTGCCCATTTTCATCCTCAACACATGGAAATTTAGCTACTAGGATGTTGGGGTGATTGTATGCCAACCAGACATGGTCAACAAACCTGTAGTGCTCTCAGATTCATAGCCATGGCGCAACTATGAGACGCTACAAGGACCAGTCGATCTAGGCTTGCTGCTCTGCTGTCGGTCAGTATAATTGAAAGGCCTCCTCAATTCTTCGATTGGGGATTTAAGCCCTTTGGAAGTATTGCTTCTTGCAGTTGAGTGAAAGACAAGATCACAGATCCCTGTCCTCCAGAATGTCATGGGAACCGTGAGACCTAAGTGACCTAGGTTTTCCTTGTCCTACGAAGCCACGCTGTGGAGCGTAAACTTGGTCCGTGAAGTTTAGCCTTCACCCTCGAGAAGCTTTGGACCACCAAAACGCTAGAGCATGCGTCGTTTGTGCTCAATCCTGGGGATGAACTGAAGAGGGGCACTACTCTTTACTGAGGCGGGGGGAAATCATTCTCTTCGCGATCAAATAGGGTGCACACAGGTCGCGAAAAATGGTAAACAACGAAGAACTTACAAAAATTTGCTGACGGGAGTCTCTTGCTTCGGCACCGCGACGCGAAGACCTCCCCTTCTCACTCTCCTACTCATCGTCTCTTCCGGATCGATGCAGCTTCCGCACGCTACTCAATTCAGGTCTTCCAAAGGTGAGATCAACGTTCAAGGGGAACGGTATATACGCCGTGCCCCGTGCTTCCGAACCCTTACAATGAAACAACACCTAATACGACTCGACCGATTTTGAAAGTTTCCGATCTTCAACAAGTGCGTTGCCCGAATCTCTAAAGACTAGCTGCACACGAAACTGTAGCATCAGATCAGCCTCTCCGAACACTCTATCCCGCAATGAGTGGCACCAACTGATCCACCCAATAATGTACCAAAACCGAATCAAACAGCACACACGCTGAGTTTCACGGTGAGTTTTACTACAATTACTAATCGAGACCCCTAGTTTAGCCTAGTTGCGTAGGCCAAAACCAATCCAGATAGCAAGTGTGCCAAAGCTACCACCCCGAGACCTCATGCCGCCAAGCAATGACTAAGAATGCCAGAATCCAAGCATGCCTGGGGTCTCTCGGCAAATGCGCTGCCCACATTCACATGTTCCTTACTCCACGCTGAACATGAAGCCCTACAAGCAATCCTTAAGCGATCTGTCAGTGGGTAACGACAACTATTAATCCTCCAATTCAGTGCTTTCAGGAATACTTTAATAGCTCTTTCCGATTCATCACCGCAATAATTTGAACATGCCGATTCATGATTTGCAGACAGAAAACCGACTGCTAAAGAGAGCCACTCAAGGGCCAGGCAACTTGATTGACCGCTTTAGCACGTGGGTTTATTGACCCCGTCCGTTTCCCTCTGACCGCATGGTGACGCCATTTTCTACATCATATGGAAAAGAAGTGGTAGATATGTGTTGGGAAAAATGTATTCTAGAAGGATATCGTCGCCCCTGGTCATCTCCGTGGCTGATTCAACCCAACGCACTCTAGCCGGCACTGTTTTGTAAAGTGACAAGTGCGTCAAGTGCTGACAGGGCCACCTGAATATTAAAAAATTAGGGTAATCAAACGGAAGTGGTCGTATGCGCTGTTCGACGAACGATGCGACAGATCGGCGGAGCGGTAGGGTAAAGCATGTGTTGCACAAGCGTAACATTCCCTCTTGCAAGTGTCATGAGTATCCAGTGGGAATTGTAGAACCAGTCTCGCCATTACTTTCCACAGTGTTCGTAGTACAGGATGCGTCAGATACGAAGACAATTTGAGTGGAGGGCATGTCGCGCGTGAATATTTTGTCCGGTGAATGCCAAATTTCTGTGCGGAATTTTGAGTGGACGGGCCGTAGTTGGTGCTATTTGTGCACTTCTGCTTCGTCGACTCAGAGGTTTGAGTGAATGTGCCGTGATTATCCGTGAAGCAGAGGTTGTGCTCAAAGGTTTGTGGACTATCAGCGGCGTTTAACATTCGATGAATGTGAGTGCTTCTTTGGAGTATCGCTTCTTTGTTGCAACATGCTAGCTTATGTTCTTCTTCTATACAAATTTGCAATCCATGATGTCTTTGTTGCTTCCATCTTCCTGCGCCCAGACATCGGTTGAACTCACCATGAGACAGCACTTTCCTCTGCCTTAGTTTTAATCTTGTATTTTGGCGCCCCTGCCACCATGTTTATATGACGAAGTCTTGTGTTAAACCTGGTAGATTGAACTTGATGGTTAAATAGGTCTAATATTGACCTGGTCTCATGGTGAGATAATCTAAAAGCTGCAGGAGAACCGTTCTCTGGAATATATCACTTGTGTCGAATCTTGCACTCGGGTCACAAGACAGCTTCTAGCTTTCTGATGGTGGGACATCTTTTGGACCTCGCCAGTACTAGGATTGAGCGATTCGTTGGTTTTTCAGGTCGATCCCTCACAAAATCGAACTTCGAAGTTGGATTTGGCTGCTATCACACTTGTCCAACACTAGTCTCAAGGCTGAAGTTCACGAAGGTTGAGCCTTCTTCATGAGCAGATCAGTGCAAGAAATTACAATTCAAGGACTAGTATTTGATATTGGTAGTATTATCATCTCCCCAGAGCTTAGAAAATGACCCAAGGCAGGTTTCTTGAGTAGGAGACAATGCTATTGACAACGATGCAAGTGGACCATTGAACATGGTTGAGGATAGCTAGATATAATAGAATTCTCAGAACTCCAATTCTTAGCCAGACTTGAGGATGTTTCGGACACAAGCAGAAGTCACCTTGCTGACCTTACTGAGTGAATTCTGCGCAAGCAAATTTTCTGTTCAAGTAATAGATACATCTGTGAATGTGCTGTTCTTCTGTTTCATGATACGAGTCTTTGGTAGGAGACTCAAAAACCTAACTCACCTAAATTGTGATTTGCATAGTACTCAAGCAATTCATGTCAAAGCTCCTGGAGGGCTGGTGCGACATTGAACTAGTACTGATCCCTATTCCTCACCTGTAAAGATTCATGAAAAGTATGAAGTGCGTTTGCAGGTACACTGACTGTAACATGCCATCCATGTTGGATGTACTGTACCGAGGGCGCAGGTTTTATATTCCCGAAAATTCCTTATTTCATGACCAGTTGTGGGCATTCTTGAGGCTGTAAAAAAATGATTGCATTACCCTGCTTTGTATGTGATGTGCCGCTCCACAGTCGCCGTCCAGACATCTCTCCGAATACTGTAGTACCAACGTACAGTTGCAGTTATGTCACTACCGTTGGTGGCTGTCACTGTTGGGCTTCTGTTCACCATTACGCTCTAGAGAGTGGACTGTTCACTCGCATACATCTTAAAAACAAATGAAGTGGATCACCTATCCTGCGATCGCCTTTCTCCGCCAGAGAAGTAGCGACTTTCTACTTAATCGGAATTTCACTTTTGCTTTTCTCATGTCAGACTTTGGCTGTAAAGCAATTCACAGCGCAGAGAAAATTTTCGCAGTTCTACATTGTGTCAAGCTGTGCCGAGATACAGTGTATGCCAATGCAAAAGGTTCAGGTTGTACTCGAATGTAATAGTCTTGAGATTATCCCAGGATTCTGTTGTTATTGAAAGTTAAACTATTGTATGTCTGATGCGAAGTTTTAGTATTGGTAGTCAAGCTTTTGAAGGTCATGTTGCAACTGTCCTCATCAATTCTTTTATCACGTCACGGATGAACACTGAAAAAGTGCACAATTAATTACCGTCTATTCAAGGTTGACATCCATGTATGAGTTCTTTGAAGAATCTGGAAAGCATGTGCATTGAAGTTTGGTGGTAATTGAAGGAACTAAGCATTAGTTTTAATGCTTGTTTTCTGTATGGTCCACTCTGAAGACTTTCAATATCAGTATCATACTGAGATCTGTACATGACAGGAAAGTTGTTATCATCCTAATATTTTGTAGTAATTCATGCAGTAAGCCCTTTAGTTCGTTGGTGGTGGAGAATTGGGCTAACAATATGATGCAGATTTCGGCGTCGGTGTTCCTGTTCCTCATGCTCGTGGTTCTTTTCTCGTTCTTCCTGAAATGCACCACTGGTACAATGCCAGAAAAGAAAGCAGATCTTCTTTAGGAGCATAATCATCTACCTGGAGGCTGAGCCCACATTTTGAATGCTCCATTGAACGTGGCTCTTGCACAACTGCCGATAGAAAGGCCTTCAATAATGCATATTGTGTGACAAACAATGAGCGACTCGCAAATATATATGAGGTGACTGTGTTTTCCTTCATATCATAGAATATACTCCCCTGCCATTTTCAGAAACATGAAATTTTTTCATTATACTCCAGCTGCAAATCGGTCTTTAAGCCGGTGTAGATAAACGTTTAGACTTGTTCATGCTTTACTGTAGATTCGGCAAAAGTCTGTAAAGCTGTTGTCTTGTTTATAGCCTGAAGCAGATCACAGCTGTGGCCAAAAAGCACTAGTTCAATACACTACTGAGCTCTCACGTCAAGTGGACCATGGCTCGTGTCGATTTGTAAGTACCCACATATCACAGACATGTGCAAAACTTGGGCCTCATGACCTGCATTGAGCACTTAAGATCTTTGATTTGTTTAGCATAAGATTGTCTGTAATAAACTCCACTATCACCACCACTTCTTCTTCTTTGATAGTTGTATCATATAATTGTTTCAGTGATCACATTTCTCACTTTCTTCTGGTACGATGGGGTCAAAATCCATTAAGTTTTATCCCAGCTGAGAGCATTGTTTTCAAGGTCTGTTTGCATTCATTTTGTGGTAAAGCTCACCATGGTTTTGGCCTTCAGTGCAATTTGATCTGTCTACATCACAATAGCTTTAAGACTAGCCAAATTTTCACTCTTCTTAAGTACACATTCTTGTGCACATTATTTGAATGACTTTTTGAATAACATTATTTGATTTGTTTTTATTTCAAATTATAGTTTTACAGCCATCATATATTCTACATGATGTAAACAAGCAAAAAAAATAAAAAAATAAAAATAATAACATTTACAAATAAGATGTAACTAATATGCAGCAACGATTTGTAATGATATTTAAATACACTCTCAATTTAGATTAGAATTGTTCTGGTTTTGTTCTTTATATTTTGTATAATTTTTATCAATTAAATAAGTAGATAGATCTTACCTCATATACAAATCCAATTTTGATATCAAATTACTAAAACTATTCTTATAAAATATAAAACATTATTCCGACTTTACATAATTTTTATAGATTGTTTGCATAAGAAAGATTACATATATTTGTTACTAATAGTAATTAGTAAATTAAGATTCTAATAATCATACTTATTAGTAAATATAATATATAATGACATCAAATTTCAGATCCTATTGTAATCCATTTATATCTTTTATTAAAAAATACATGAATATTATTTTTTAGATATTCAATAAAAAGTTAACTAATTAATTAATTATAAATTTGACTGTACAAAAAAATAAAATTTAAACAAAACCTGACTTGTTATATTTTATTTTTTGTGAATATTTTAGTATATTTTCCTAAATATTTTTTATATTTAAAAACATAAGACGCATAAAAATGAATGAATGAAAAAATATCAAATTTAGTTTTTAAATATTTTTACTATCAAGTTGCAAGATCAGCATTGTAATAACAAATAATTATCTCTAAATATTAGTTTACAATTCCGATTTTTTAGAGATGTATAGTAATCTTATTATCTATGTTATGAAATTACTTATTGTAAGTAATAAAATATTACATTTTTTTAGAGAAACATTAAAAACGTTTTTTAAAAACTCTATTTAGAAGAAGCAAACACAAACATAAAAACGTACATGTACTTAAATAGTATATATTTGATGCTGTTAAAAAGTTTACATGTTATATTTACCAATAAATGTGATTATTAGAATCATAATTTACTAATTAATATTACTAACAAATATATTCAATGTTTCTTATGCAAAGAATATATAGAAATTATGTAAAATTGGAATGAATTAAGATGTAATTAAAAAAACATATGTGTATATACATACACACACACACACACACACACACACACACATATATATATATATATATATATATACACTCAATCTGTTTTAGAAATCTTTTTGAATTGCTAAATCTCTTGAAAGTTATGTAATATAATTTCTAACCAAATAGGACATACATTACCATGGTATTGCTTCTACTACTTTATTTTATTTTAATTTTTGGAAGAGCTGAAAAATATTTCATCTACTTTTTTTTGGAATTCTAATAGAAACAACTCTAAGTAAGACAAATAAGTCATTTAATAACATAGATAATAGTACAAAATAAGAAAATTTAATTCTTTATATTTTTTTTTATTGCATTCCAATAAATCTTCTTCCATAATATTCATTTTGTATTCATTAAGTCTATACATAACTTAAACCTCTCAACAAGTATTAGTTTTATTAACATATCTATTATATTACACATTGAAAATATTGTGGTAGATTTTAAATAGACTTTCAATTTACATGATTCCCAATATTTGTAAAAGCAATATGATATAGCAGAATTATTTTTGTCTAGGTCTTAAATTAAACCAATGTAATCAAATGATTTTATGTCACTTTGTCTCTTGTATATTGCATTAAATATGATGCATCCATTTAAAGTATCTTTTAGATATCAAAGTATCTAAATGATTTTATTCTAATGCACTTTCTTTAGATCTACCATGTATTTTTCAACCACACTTATAGCATATAAAATATCTAGAGTAATACACACCATTGTGTATATGTAAAATAAGTTATACTTCTTTTGTAATATCCAAAGTCTATTTCTTGTATAATCTTAAAACATATTAAATAACTATTATCTTCCAGGTAGGTTTTATTTATTTTACTTCAGATTCTTTTTTAAATTTCTTTCTTTAGTTTATTAGTATTAAACTTTTTGTTTTGCCACCATCTCTATGGTATTAACATATAATACAAGTATAACTTATATTCGTATAAGTAGTCTTTTTTAATTGTTTGGAATACATATAATATTTAAATTTATTCTAAGGATATTTTTTCTTTTTGTAAAGGCATCAAATTACTTCTACTATTGCAAACTTGATTACTCTAAGTTATAAAATAATATTTTTCACTTTCATAATTTATTTTTTATTTTTTTATAATTCTTGAAATCATTAACTTTGTATTAATATATCTACTTTTTTATTTCTTTGAAAATTTAGAAAAAAATAATATATATATATATATATATATATATACATATATTAGATTTAAAAATTATTTTGTAAAATCATTATCAAAAATATAGAATTAGAACTAATCTATTCTACCAGCAAAAAAAATTTAATATATTAGATGCACTATTTTGCTACTAATTTTTTCTTATATCTTACTTCATTTATTTTAAAGGTTTATTTTTTATTTTTTAAATACACCTACTTAAAACTAACTGTATTTTTTCCCTAAGATAATTTTTTCTATATCCCTTCTTTAGCTCTTAAAAAGAAACTCTATTATTTCGATCATTTTTTTATAATAATTTTTTAACTTTTAATATTTAATAAAACATAATAAAATATAATCTCTAAAAGTTTATACTACCTATTTCCTCTTGGAATTCTTAAATAACTCTAAGCATATATATATATATATATATATACGAACATCTAAGAAACCAATCACATTTTATTATATTAAGTAAATATTTGATAAAATTTTATTATTTAGAAAAATAAATTATCTATTGCTTATTATAAAAAATATATAACTCACATCCCATATAGAAAAGATTTTAACCTTGAAAATGTATTGTGTTATGATAATTATATATAGAGATTAAAAATTAGTTAGCTTTTATTACTCTACATTTTATATATGTATGGTAAGACTACTATTTAAAATATTTTATTAAATTTTTAAACTAGTTTAAAGATAACAAATTTTTAAGAAAATGTCTTTTATAGAATTCATCTATATAGACTTATTGTAAGCTTATTGATTAGAGACATTGTTTAGTTTTATAGTAAGCATACTTAAGAATAATTCAAAATCTATAAAGTATTATTTTGGTGTATAAAAATACACATGTGATATTATACTTGGATATTTTTATTGACTTATTAATTCTATTCATTAACATCAAGTCTACAATATTTTTACAAATCAAATTCAGATGGATTTATTTTTTTGTTCTTACATTTATTAGAAAGGTTTTCTAATTGACATTATAAATTAGAAAATAACTAGTCTTTCTATTTTAATATTTCAAAGTTTTATATATCTTATAAGCTTCTGAGCATAGTATTTTAAACTTAAATTGAATATGTTATGAAATCCATTTTATTACCTTATCTGTATGTAAATGAACTCAATAATTATTTTAATATTAGACTACAGAGTATTTTAGAACTTAAATTGTTTTTTTTAATCTTATTATGTTTAAATTGGTAATACAGTACATGAATACAATAAAGGAATAAAACTTAATTTTAAGAAGAACCTTATCATTAATTTTGCAAGTTGCTAAATAATTATTTATTTGATTGGAATGACCTAAGTATGAGTTAATAATAAAAATAATAAATAATAAATAATAAAGTATTTGTCTCAAAATTTTGTAGTAGGAAATTTTTTAATTTTTAATTTTTAATTTTTGGCAGTATTAAGAATAGAGTGCTATATTGATGGATTTTATTTATACCAAATTTTAAAAATTAAAAAAAAAAAGCTTAATTTTGGAGTAATAATTCTAAAGTTCTAGAAAAAGTTCATGAGAGATTCTCTAAGTTTTTGAGGGCAAGAAAAAAGAGTTTTCAATTTTCCAATGGAGTGATATCCTTTCTTGAAGAACATACAAAGAATCCTTCAACAGAAGTTATTTTCAAGCTTTTTTTGATCATAAGTAAATATGACACTTTTAGTTAATTTCTAGAATTTGTAATTTTTGAAGTTGGCTCAATCCACAGTAGTTAAAAGTGGCTTATTTAGAATTAAGTCTTAAGCTAAATTGTAAAAGTCAATCCAATTTCTTCAATCATGAAGCTTAAAAGTTATTTTGAAATGTGCTTATGCTAAAGGTTATATATTCTATCCCTAAATCTATAAACCAAGAATTTCTGAAGGGAAAAGAAATTTAAAAATATATATATATATATATATATATATTTTAACAAACTCAGTTTGTGAACTGAATCGGCCACCACACTAGTTCTACAAAAAAAAGAAAAAAAGAAAAAGACATGGAAGAGGATGAATGATAATGGAAAATTAAACGAAGGTGATGAAAGTTGCGTATTGACGGCCAGGATTATGGATGGGGAATCGACGGTCCCAATGCCGAGTCTCAACTTCAAAGGCCCTGGTTGCAGGCTTAGGGAGCCCTTTGCCGCCATAGCCAGACCTCTCACGGAGCTCCCAGGGTAGTAGTAGTCCCGACCTCATCATCTTCTGTCAGCAGCGACGATGGTAGAAAAGGCTGCAAAGAGCCGCAAGGCCGAGGTGGTTACCCGTGAGTACACCATCAACCTGCACAAGCGTCTCCATGGCTGGTAAGCAAGCTCCTCACTTGGTTGAATTCCGTTGTATTTTACTTGCTCCAAACCCTACCTCTTTCTTTTCTCGTCTTTGCTCTTTTCATGGTTGTAGTATATATCAATACAATTTTGGTGTACTTTTGATGGTACTGGGTCTGAATTCCTTAGTAGGGTTTTCGAGAGTTTTGGTACTTGTCTCAAAATTATGCGACTGTAGTCGTTTTTTATTTTCAGGGTTTCGTGCATTGTGTTCGTGTGTTCTTTATTTACTTATTTATTTATTTATTTTATTAATCTCCTTAGATTGGCATAGTTCCTCCTGCGTCACGGGATGTTCATGTGTTGTATCATGTGTGTGGGCGAAATGGGTCTCTCGTCTCCGACCCTTCACAAATCAGCTTTCTTCTTGATGGATTCGGAGCTGATGTTTTTGTCGTAGGTCGAGTTAGAACATCTTGTCTTCATATTGAAATGAGGCTGGGACTTGCACATGATTTCACGTGTTAATGCAACACATGAACGACCTATAGACCCTCTGTTTGTAAAATGAAATTGGAATTCAGAACTTTTTTTATTGAAGATATGATCATTGTTAAGTTTTAGGGTTACATTGGATTTGCTAGAATTAGGTGGACTGGAATTGCAATCGCTCGACCGCATGCTATCTCAGTTGTCGTTTGATTGCAGCACTTTCAAGAAAATGGCACCCAAAGCGGTGAAGGAAATCCGTAAATTTGCGCAAAAGGCCATGGGCACGAGTGATGTAAGGTTGGATGTAAAGTTGAACAAACATATCTGGAGTAGAGGTGTGAGGAACGTTCCTACCAGGGTCCGTGTGCGCATCGCCAGGAAGCGCAACGATGACGAGGACGCAAAAGAAGAATTGTATTCTTACGTCTCCGTCGCCGAGATCCCCCCAGAAGGATTGCGCGCTTTGGGCACGAAGATTGTAGAAGATGAGGATTGAGTCTTGGTTTTGTAACGCGGGCACTATTATATCCATTGTTGTTTTCTGTTTAATCCATATCCGGGATCAATTTTTATTCAGATGTGCTTATGATTGGCTGTTAAAAATGCCAACCTCGTTTTCAAATATAAGTTGATCAGTTGCTGGTCGCGGTTTTGACTCTAGTTTTTAATGTATTTTTTTGAGTTCCTTACTAAATCACCACTCCAACATCCGAGATGCGCGACATCTCATCCTGGTATTAGAGTCCAGAACCATTGCCTCGTTCTTGTAATATTACAGGGATGCAATGAATTGTTATTCTGGTCAGATTTACAATTTAGTTATGCGTTATGTGAATCAATGTTCGCAGCACTGGATGTCGTTAGGCCCCTCCTTAGCCCTATCCAATTATAAGCAACACTCTACAAGTAACACTCGTGGACGTGTTCTGCTCGACTTTCCCCTGTAGGTTGATATCTACGCGTAAGTGCATTAATATCGATGTTAGTTTTAACGTTTTAGTCGGTGTTGTGTGCTGGTGCTTCTAGTTGTTGGGGTTGCCCTTGTCATGCTAACCAGGATTGTTTTCCTCAGCAGCTGTGTACTTATTTACATTCTTATCAGTGGTTTTAATTTACAGTTCTGAAATGAGCTACAGCTCTTTTTTTTGTATTTGTTTTTGTTATGGATGTTTTAGACCCTAAAAGAATGTTTTATTTTCTTACAAGCACCATTAGAAAAACCCTATCCTAATTTATTTTTTAAAAATTTTCAAATAAAACATAGTTGTCATGCAAAACCAAGGAATAAAAACGGATTTTTTTATATTTGTAGAATAACAAGCTTATAAAAAGGCTATTGTTAGATATCACAAAATGAGATTTTATCTTTTTAAATTATTCTAAATCTTAAATGCTGAAATTCAATTCCTTCAATTCATAAAGACAATTTCAACATTTTTTTTTGTGGTCCATACAAGTTTTAGTTGATAGAAGCAACTTGCAAGCCAAACAAATGGTGGATGCATTAAGTAAATTCTTTAGGGCTTTAGTATTCCATTTAGAATAGTAGGGTTTTGTAGGCATGACCTTGGTTGCATTGAGTAGTAATAATTTTAGTCAATAATATTTAGCAAGATATGATGCTATAAAATATAATGGTGTTTAAGTTTATTATTATTATAAGGTTTTAATAGTGGTAACAACTATTTAAACCAAAATGCCAACATATGCTAATTGTGTCAAAGAGACTTGAACAAAGAATAAGAGGTGGTCTCTTTATTTGACATAAATTGCCAAAATAATCAACCATATTTGACCCAACTTATATGAAGTGTGTATCTTCTATTAGATTTTTCTAGAAGCTGTGCAAGTTGAATTTAACTATGGAATCACAAAATATTACTATTGACCAAGATCTTGTGAGAAAAAAAGTTGATAAATTATGCCACAATATTATAATTGCATATATTGTGGATATTAAATATGATGATGTTTAATTCAAAGAATAGAAAGAAGGCCTTAAAAAACTAGCAACCAATTCTTTTTTCCTAAAAAAAAGAATGGCCAAGGCTATCTTTATTTTAAGATGTTTTTTGAAGAGATCATTTAGCAAGTTTTAATCCAATTTTTATATAGATTCTTTATTACATTCTAAACATTTCAATCATGAAATCTAAGTTTTAATTTGTGAGCCATTTGAAATTTAAATAATTATGCTAATTGTAATTTTTTAAAGATTTTGAAAAAAATTATTTTAAAAGGCATGCATGAGGAATTCATCTCCATTGTCTTGTAAGTTGTGGCTAAGTTGGAGCACATATTGGATCATTGGCTTAATCATAAGAACTTATAAGAATCACATTTTTGCATTACCTCAAAATTGAGTGTTGGTTGAGAGGTTGAGCTTATGGTTTACAACCTAGTAATTAATTTAGAAAAATCTATATTCATAGGCTATTAAAATCTACCTATTCAATGCTATTTTTGTCATAGAATAGATCAATATATTAAAGATTGTTAAACTTTGGTATAAATTAGAATTAGACTAAAATCTAAATATACTAAAAATAAGCAAAAATTTTTGTGACAATACAAAAATCTTAATTCTCTTATACATGTTATACAAATAAATAATCTTTTAAGCACGTCTTTTTTTTCATCATTAGCCAAACTCAATGAAAATGTTACAAACTAAGCTTTATTTTATTTCAACAAACAAAAAAAAAAAAAGCATTAAGATCTCAATGTTTACCTACATCTACTCAAAACTTTTATGTTTTTTATGCTTAAAATCTATTACAACCTAATTAAGCCATAAAACTTCCTACATTAATATTTCTAATTAACTCTCAATACAATATCAATGTTATATTGTCACTTCTTGTGGAGAATAAGTTAATAATAAATAACATATTTTTTTTTGTCTTTGAATTGTTTCTTTTTTAAGACAAAATCTCAAACTTAATTAAAGAACTTGCTAATAAAGATGATCTTAGATAAACCACCATTTTAGATTGACAACAAATAAAGCATCAAAAGAGGATTCTTAAATTTAGTACTTATAATTATCTACAATTTCTTGGTGTTGTATTATATATTTTCTTACTTGAGAATGCACTAAGTACTTGCTTAGGGAAAGAGAACTTAAACTTTACAACAAAAAAAAAACCTAATAATTTTAATAAAATTCCAAAAAAATCCAATTTGGCCTTATAAATCCTAATTGAACCTAAATCAGATTATAAGGAAATCTTGAAAAACAAATCCTAAAAGAAATCCTAAAATAATTATAATGAAATCATAAAGAATTTCTAAAGAAACCATAAGGAACCTTAAAGCAATCCCAAAGAAATCCTAAAGAAATTATAAAAAAAAGATTCTAAAAAAATCATAATAAAATTTTAAATAAATTCTATGTAAATCCTAACTAAATCTTAAATAAATTCTAACAAAATCTCAATCAAACCTTACTTAAATCTTAAAAAAATTCTAAACAAACTATATTTAATTTAATTTTTTTAATGAACTATTTAGCAAACATTATAAATTCTAATAAATTTTAAATAAATCCTAAGAACATTAATAACTATTAATTAATTATTTATCTTGCTTAAAAGTTTGGAAATGCTTCAATATATAAATTAACAATAAGTGCACAAAATTGAAAAAAATCAAACTTATCAATAAGAATAAAAAGCTTTAAATTTATTTGGATGCAAGCCAACTTCCTTTTTTAATCTTAATATCAATCTATTAGCAATAATAGTTCCCTATTGAACTATTTATTTGTCCTTAAAATTATTGAAGATGTTTTAAACTAAGTTTTCTATCTATTTACAAAAAAATTATTTCAATCCAACCAATAAATTGGTTAAGATCAAATAAATTTTGATTAATTCTTAAAATCAAATTTTAAAGAATTCAATCTAATCAAATTTTAATAATTTTTAATTTGATTGTTCAAAGAAAAAGCTCAAATTCACAAAACACATTTTTAACAAGTAGATTCACAAATTTCTAAATTTTTACTTGTCTATTTATTATTATATTTCTATATTTTAAAAATATTAACGTTTTTTTTGTCTTTGAGATTATTAAGAAAAAAAATTAAAGAATGTAATTAAAAAAGTAAAAAAAATTCTTAAAATTTTTTTTAAAAAAATAAGTAAGTATATATATTTCAAAAAAAACTAAAAAAAATATTGCCAAAGAATTAAAATAACTAGAGATTCTTGTAATTAGATTAGAAGCAAAAAAAGAATTAACAAGAATAAAAATGACCTCACTCTTATCTCTATATATATATTATGTAATTAAAAGAAATATAAAGACCTTCTATAGGACCTCTAACATTTGTTCAACTTGCATGATATATGTCTAGATTACAAGACAAGCTTTCAATATGTACACCACATGTCCAATTGTATAAGAAGTAGCCAACATATATGACACATGAACAATTTTTCAACCTACCAATCACCTATGGATACACATAAAGAAAAAATTGCATTTATAAAACCTTTCTATAAGATATTATTAATTTTATTTATTTATAATTATTCATATTATTTACATATATATATATATATATATATATATATATCCATGTTATTATTCTTTGTTTTTAGAGACAAGTTCTACAAGGATCATTAATCACATGTTGATAAAATTTACAAAAGAACAAATTATATTTACAACATATTATAATCCTTGTTCTCTTCAAAGATAATTGATAGGTCATCTCAGCCATTAATAATTCTCCATATTATGGTAAGAAGACTACCCTAACATTTAATTATTGATGAGATCTTTATAATTTCCTTCAAACAAAACATTTTGAATACCATTAGAAGTGGTTTCTATCTTCAATAATATCACCAAAAATTGGAAGTCTCTTTCAAGGTTATAATATCAAACATGTTGTATTTTGCCATCTATTAAAATAAAACATGTTATTTTTGAAGATTTTTATTTCTATTATGTTGTCTTGAAGATTGTACAATCTTAATATAATGTCTTGTAATTTAATAAATAATATTTTTTAAATTAAATCTAATATTTATTATTTTTCTATTTATTAAATAATACAAATACAAAAAAATGATAATTAAGGATAGAAAATAATATGCAAGCTTCATTAAATCTCAATTCTTTCATAGCAAGAAATTGTTTGATTTTTTATTTTAATTTTGATAGATGTTGCCAATAAAAAGCTTTAATCTTTTTAATTACATTTGTCAGATTTTTAGATAGCTTCCATATATATATATATATATATATATATATATATATTAATATAATATCAATGCCAATGTATAAGATAGAAAATTGTCTAATTCTATGATAATCCAACTTATCACAAAAGGGATTAGTTTTAATATTACAATAAAATAACCATATCTTATTACAAATATGAAATTGAGGTTGTTCTTTGTGATAGGAATTTATGTTGATCTTTTATTATTCTTAAGTTTTTCCAAATTGTCCATTTATTGTTGCATGTAGTTCCAATAGAAGATTTATTAAATATTTTGTTACAAGATTATCAACTTTTAAAAAGTCAAAAATATAAAATTATAGATAATAACTATAATCAAAAAAAATATTTGTTAAATAAAAAATATATCATATTATTATAAGTAACTTCTAATAATGTCATCGACATACACATATAAATCAATAATTATCTATATAATTTAGATAATAGTAGGTAAAAATAAGTCGATTCTATAATATCTTCTTTAGAAGCTTCTTAAAAGCTTCATAGATATTGCTCTGACTTTATTGGTATCTTTAATTGATTTTTTAAGTTAGAAACATGGTCAACAAGTTGGCTATG